AAAAAAAGTTTCACCAATGCAGCTGAGACAAATAAAAGCTTCAAGGCTCAAATTCTGGTTCTGATTACATGGATGTGACTCCTTTGTGGTTGTAGTGTTTCTGTTTTAATATAGGGTAATCCAGATTTTAAAATTAAGGAATTACACACATCCTCTGCTATTCAGAGTATGGCTGCCAGTAAAAGACAGAGCTCCTCGTCCTTCCAACAAACTCTACTATGCAGGACTTCTAAACTCATTAGATTGAGGACCCCGGATTTATGAAAGGCATGTTGCAAACACATCCTTTGGAATAACAGTAAGCTGTTAGAAATATTTTTAAATGTTGATGCTTTCAGAGTCTTATTCAATGTCAAGCATTGGCATGTCAAACTCCATTAGTGTTTACAAGCACCACCATTTTGCTTTGCAGTTTAAATATGGCCACATCTCAGCTGGAGACAACTTCAGTACAAGTCCAGAATGAGGCATCTAGATCAGTTGCAGAGCCCCTAATGGTTCTAGACCTCTGCTCCTATAGAAATGTGAAGTGTGGCTTATTTAAAAAAAAAAAAAAAAGGAAAATAAGAAAAAAAAAAAAGGAAAAAACCAAGTTGTTGCTTGAAAGCTACAGCATTGCATTTGGACCAGAAAAGCGTAAAGTAAACCTGTAGTCAACACTATTATAGCAATTCTGCCTCTAGAGGGCATTACAAGCTAAATCTTTTCTCTGACAAGTGTTGACAACATCTTGGATCAGCCCAGAAGACAGTTCTTAAATTACCTAAATTAAGAGATTTTCTGTTTTTACAACACCAGCTATGTAGGAATCAAACAAAATTATTGGGCAGCAACACTAAAAGATCTTTAATTCACTGAGTAACAGCAGATAGTTTTGGTAAGAAAAGATGTTACCAGACATTTTCTAATATCCCTGAAACTTCTCATGATGTGAGATGGTGTGAGCAACTTTTAGCACATTGCTGTTCCTTTTTAATGGCTTTGCCTGCATCCTTTTTAGGAGTGCTGTGATCCCTGGTTGTGATTAAACCCGAAGATCACTGGTCATTAGCACAGAGGCTTTGAATCCTTAGCACCTGGCATGTAGGCCAGTGTATCTGATATAGAAAGAAATAACACTTTTATTTGACTCTCTCAAGATCTATGATCTATACAAATTGCTCAGGTATCAGTGGACATGAAAGTATTAAGTTCCAGGCTTTTTATGCATTAGACAAAGATATCTAAGTGACATATCAGAGATATTCTGGTGGTGAGCTGGTATGACAGGCTCTTCCCAGTAAGTGCTGCTTCCTAGAGGTATTTGATAAGCCTCTTCAGTCACGCAGTATGAAAAAGCCCAACAGTAATCTTTTTCCTCTGTACATGTGGACTAAATCAGTCCAAATCACAAAAAACATTTGTGTTTCTGTGGCTGAAAAGCAAGGATCATGCGCATCTCACTGCAAGCTGAAGGCCATATTTTGTTATTGCAGAAAACAGCAACCAGGTTGCTTTGGTATAGTTTGGCTGTATATGTTTTACTATTCACATTTGTTCAAATACAATTGACTGAAATGCATTAATGGGGCAATTAGAGTAATTACACTTCTTTTTTCTGAAGATGGATATACAGCTTCTTATATTTGTCTATTTCTCTGGCATCACAGTGACTCTTTTTGATTTTTTGGTACTGCTGTGAGTAGTTTGCTAAATGCCATAGCCAACTACGTTTCTAAGAGGCTACATATGTTCCAGACTCATCAAGATCCATGAGCCCATTTCAAATTTTCAGAGCGTTCCTTTTCCAGAGCCTCTTTCTATACCCATTCTGTGTTGTTAAGATTTTGTACTGTCAGAACAGCTTGTAACATCCCCTATAAACCAGAAGAATCCTCTCCAAAGTACACACCATTCAGTACTGGAATCATATAAAACAACAGTTCTATTAATAAGGAAATCCTACAATAAATAAAATATTAGAGATACATTACAGAAATATATTACAAAAAGTAATTTGATAATTAAAAGTGATATGGTAAATTATATCAATAAGAAAGATAAAAAGGAATAAAGTAAAATCACACAATCTCTTAGTCTATCTCTCTGATAGACTGGTTACATAATGCCAGCAAAATTCTTACTGTCTTGTTCACTATACTATTGCAGTGAATAAAAATATCAAAATTTTAGCTTTAACTGGCTTTACATAAAAACTGTAAGTTTGTGACATGCAAACATTTTAACTTAAGACAGCAAAGCAAAACTTTCTTTGCCAGACAGACACATTCACTTGCTTGCCACAGAAGGTTGCCAAATGGAAGTGGTAGTCTATCCTAGAGTCACAGAAATTAGGTCCACCCCAGGGCTAAAATTTATCTTTTATCTCCTTTCCTATATAGTGCAGAGTTGCTAGCATTCACTTCCGCATTATTTTTTCAATCGTTCATGATGTCCAATTCCTCTACGTAATAAAAACCTACTGGTGCCCCCTGCACTATATTATGTATTCTGAGTTCCTTTTATAATCAAGGGAGTCCAACATGCTGAAAGTATCCCAAGACTGGGTTCTTAAATTATTACTGGCCGTTCCTTTTAATATTGGGAGTTTTCTCTATCAATCAGCCTCATCCATATGTAGAAAAAAAAAATGTGGAGGCAGGTTCTCTAGCCCATGCTAGCAAAAGTTCCTGGACTGTGCAGTATCTGAATGGGAGTTAAAACTAAAAGAAAAAGTCAGGATCCATCTAAAGTTTCATAGATTGATATGCTTTTATATTTAAAAAAATCTTCAAGCTAGTCCTCTGTTAACTCTCTGCATGCGTTTATATGCAGTTTAAGAGAGTGATAAAAATAATAAAAAGTCTGTATATAATGGAAGAATTGGTAGAGGTCCCACTAGAATAATTACCAATGGTTTGTATGAACGTACTGAATAAGTGCTGAAGGTACTTAATGAGAAATGAAAGGATTCTGGGGTTATAGTGTGGCCACACAAAATAGTTTGGATATTATATGCTGATGAATGACATCATAAATTCTATGTGAACTCCAGTTAAAGAAAAGTATTGGATTCCCTATGAAATAAAATTTGCAAAAGAATCCCGAAACACAAACCTGTCAGGTAATATTGTTGCTACTTTATTAATTTTGTGGATGTTTATTTATCTAATAAGATGAACAGACCTGTTTTTGTTTAAGAAGGTTTCTGGGAAGTAGCTGCTTAGAAATTAAAAAGTTTTTTTTCTTAAGAGGAGGAAAAGTGTGTATGTATCAAACAACTAAAATTAGAAGTGTTGGTTTTAACCTCCATCTGTGCTCCAGACCCTTAGCTATGAGCACTACTGCCAGTGCAGTGCTGGTCTGCGTGGTAGGCTTTGTTTTGTCCTGGGGTCAGAGATGCCGAAAGGAAGAAAGAGAAAGAAAGATTAATCTGATAAAGGCATTGCCATTTCTAATCGGACTGATGGGAAACTGTGGTATGAAGTTAAAAAGGCAACACAGGGTGAATTACTGTGATGAACTACCTTAAAGCTGAAGCAATCAAATAGATAGCTCTAAAAATTACTGTGGCATCTTTATTCATCAACAGTTTTGCACAAGTGTCTCATGTTCAATCCCTTCCAAGAACAACTAAAGCACTCTGATATATTTGATCGGATTAACTCTTATCGGGGAGACTCAGCCACTGAGGTGGCTGCTTCTCACTTCCCAGAGTTAATTTCTCATTGCCATGCAGAAGAATAAACTTTTCAAAGCTTGAAAATGACAGACTCCAAAAAGTAACAACACTACAGCCCGGTGCCTGCACTCGTAACCTACTGTAATGGAATTGAAAGTGCTTTTATTCTTGTGTATGATAGCAGTAAAACTTTTTCACATAGGCTGACAGCTGAAAACCTGTGGAAGTGAAATTTGTGACTCCTAGTTCAGAAAGTATTCATACAGACATCTGATGGAGATTTTCTGCACATTTGTAGAGGACAAAGAATCACATAACAAAATTCAGTAATAAAAAGACTACCATTGAGTAACTGATTTGAATATTATAAACAGATATATTTGATTCAAATATAGTCAAATGATATGGAAAGTAAGCATGGTATCCTAGAGAATTCAGCATAAAACTCCTGTAAAATTTCACTCATAATTCTAAGAAAGCTTATGATTTGCTCTTAAGAAATGCTGAAGTCTTCCCAAGACGCTGGATTCTTTGAGTCTTTTGAAGTTAATGGGCTCTGAAGACACGCAAACAAATATCAGTTTTGTGTGATCACATGTGTTCTTTGCCAAGCATCACATGATTATGTTCCCACATATCAGTCTGCTTAACACAGGACTAGGAGTAAGTACACAGCTATTGATAAAGAAAAGTAAGTGGATATAGAAAAACTGATCTAATAATAAGGTGTATATGTTGTTAGAACTTTATTTTTTCAACACTGATATTATATCACCAACAGAAGAGCTAAAAGGATTTAAAATAGTATCTTCCATGTAAATAGCCTATCCTGTCCTTCTGAAGAGATGGATCAGTACCCAAAAAGGATGTATACTAACACTGACAATGATGAACAGCAATGATGAACCAGATACATTTATAGTTGTGAGAAAAAAACAACAAATGTAACTTTTAAACTTCTTTTCTTTTTTTAGTGTTAACCTCACTTACAAATCTGTAATAAATACAATGTGATTCCAAGTCTTTTACTTGATTACTCTGGTTTTGTATCTTAAAGGATTTACATTAAATAAAATATAGCATTTTCAGAAATAATTTTCCTAAGACAATACTTTTTTTTTTTTGGCAAAACTGCAAAAAAAATTTTTTTTTATTAATGTTGAAACTACATTGCTTAAAGATCAAGCAAAATCAATTAACACTACTTCAGACATAGTATACATCACTTTACAGAAAGAGTACTTTATGGGACATTCAGTCAACATACTGCTGTGCATTTGCTGAAATACGTTTATTGATTACTTATCAGGTGTCTTATATTGTGTAGTTTACAGGACAATTACACTATTTGCCCAGTTCTGGAATAAGTTTTTCCAAACTTTTCGAAGAGAACAATCGATGGTAACACTGTTTGAAAGTCCTAAAGAAATGAGAGACAAAAAAAAGTGTTAAGTTTGGCTTTCATGGTTTTACCTTTTTTTTTTAAGATATTCCAGAGCTCTAAATATTGTCTTCTAGTTAAATTTCATTATATGAGTTGGAATGTAAATTATGCACAATCATGTATATGAAACATTATTATATTATATGTACATTACTTTGACGGAGAGCACAAGAATTGAATGATTTAATTGCAAGCAAATATGTATTTCAAACTCTAAGTAACTATAGGCATTGCAAAAATTTCCTTCTCCAAAAACTAGATTTTATAGTCTTTTGCAAATCATGGTATACAAAACTACATTCTCCTCCCTGGCAACCAGGTAAGTTAAAGACAGCAAGATATCCGTGCAATATTTTAACTTTTCTACCTTGTTTAACATTAAAACATGGATATTAAATGAGCTCCATGAGAAATGGCAAAAAAAGGAATATATATTAAATAAGTATTAGTGGCAACAAATTGATTAGGAGTTCTGGTGGAAAAAAATACAAGCAGGATGATTGCTGAACATGTTTTTTCCAGGAAAAGCTCTTGGTTATTACACTCAATTTTTTAAAATGCAAATGCTTACAAATTTAAATTGAATAAGAGAAATGCAAGTGAACCTGTGCCTTAAGAGTGCAAGCTTAATACAGCCAACAAACAAGAAAGTAAAATAAGCTAAGTATTCTAAACAGTATTTTGATTTAGCTACTTACTAATAAACACTTGAGGTAAATGATTAGCAAGTCCATGGTGTTTAAGATCAAGGTTTTAAAGCATTCTTAATAAAAATATTTCCTTTGACCCTGAAATACTGGGAATAGTATCAGCAATACGAAATATTTGTTTTGTATTAAAATAGTTTTCCCTTTCTGAAAGTAACATGCCACAGATGAATTATCAGCTTTCCAGGATCTGATGATTCATTTTTAAGAAAGATGTTGGTCTAAACACTTTCTACTGTTTTCTATTGTCAACACGATGCTCTGTGAAAGTACAGGGAAATGCAACATCTTCATAAAATGTCTGAGGCCATGAGTGAAGGAAAGCTAAAGCTTTTACCTTTTCAACACATTTCACAATTTGAAAGGTTTGGTTTTCTCTCAAAAACAGAATGAAAACTATTTTTTTTTTCTGAAAAATGACAGGAAGCAGAATTATCACTCCCTGGATAACTTAGATTTAGCTACTTCACAGACCACAATTCAGCTGAATCTCCATAAACAGAGCAACTACGACTTCTGGTAAGCTTCATGCAAACACAGACATTGCCCACCTGAGCTTCATCCGCACTGCGCATTGTCAAACTGTGACCATATAATTTCTTACATCTCATACTTAAAGCTGTTTGGTATGATTCCTCCAACATTCTGGTGCATAGCTCTTAAAATAGCAAGGTAGACATATACATTCAAAATGAAATACTCCCTGTGTGGTGTGAAAATGAGTACTGCCCCATTCTTAACTTTTCACAAGATTTAATTTTTAATGTTTCTCTATGCCTGGTACCACCCAATTTCTCACCCAACAGAAATGGCCTATTTGCATATTTTCATATTATACTTTAAGAATGGCAGAGTATTTTAATTTTCATTGTGTGTTTGGTATCACAAGTACCTTCTTACTGTCCATATAATTATTATAATAAATATTATTATAACTCCAGCATAACTGCAAATAGTTTCCTTCTAAAGTGAAGATAGTTATATTTAATTCAGTAAATTCACCAGGCTAATATTGTTCATGGGAATGGAAAAAAACCCAGCTCTAGTTGCCAAGAAAGCAAACAGATAATACAGCTATAATTTAGGATTAAGCAGTAATTCAGAGCAGAATACAGTATCCTTTATTTTGAAAATAGGAAGTATATTTTTAATTTACATGCAAGACAGTTAGGTACAGCTTAACAAAGAAAGCAGTGAACTTGGTGTGAGATGGGCAAACCAGTCAAAGGTGTACACCCCCCACATCAGGATAAAATCAGGAATGGTAAGTCTGAGCACTGAAGAAGTCTTCATTTGCTGAAGCAGACGGCTTTTGCTATTAGGATGCCTGGCCAAACAAAAACAATTGGCTGCCAAAATTAGCTCCTTGGGACGATTTAGGAGCCTTTGAAGTGAACAGTTTTTTGAGCTGGAACTAAGCCCAGGTCCAGCTTCAAACTCAAATCAAAATGACAAAGAGGAAATTTTCTGTGCCACACGCCCCCTCAGTGTAAGATTACTTTGGGTTGGCAGCTGTACTGTTTATCTTGTTATTTAAAGCTATTTCACTAGATACTCACAACTGAGCATTTAAACAACTGGCTCCGATTATGACGACAACAGTTATGTTTGACCACATTTAGGAAACATCACACAGTCTGATGGATAAATAAAAGTGTTGCTGGCTTTACAGTTAGACTAATTAAAGAAACTGAGAATGTATACTAGATAAATGCTGCACAGTATGCATATAAAATATAAATATCTTTTTAGGAAAAGAACCCCAGCCATTTCTGTATTTGAAGACACAGATTTTAATCAGGTTTCAACAGTGTGCGAAAGTAAGGCCTGAAAATACCACTTGGCCTTGCAAGATCTACCTCACAAGGCTGATGAGAGTCTGTCCCACAGTATCATTGTAGCAGCATGAAGGGAAAGGACTTGGAAGCCATGTTCTCGTGTCTGTCTAATTTCATGGTGAAATGTAGGTTCAAATCGTGCAGTAAAGCACTGCAATGCACTTGATTCTGGTAGAATGCCAGGATCATCTTGAATTTAAGCTGATTGCTACACAGCATAGAAGGTATGAAGTTATGCAGGTAATCCTTTTGAAGCTGCAAGAACAGAAGTTGTGAGTGGAGAAAAACAGGCTTCTTCAAAATTTTTGTCACCGTCAGTCCCTCATTGTTGGTAGCTGGAATGAATCAGCTTACAAATATGAATTCCCACGTATTGGTGAGATTGACCCTACAGTTTTGCAGTCTCAGGATCATAGGAGCATGGAGCTGAGCTTATGGAATTTTTCCACAATGCATTCTTAAATCATGCCATATAATTCTCAGCATCAGAGACCTGTAATTCTCAGGAACGAGACCCATTTTTAAATTCCCAAATGAAGTTAATATAACACTTCCTTTTTAAACTTGTCAAGCTTTGACTCCTTTCACTCTAGTAAATTGCAAGTGACTCCAGTTCAGCTGACAGAGCTTAACAAGACCTATGGACCCTTTCAATATATTTGACTACTTGACTGTCATGTGTGCTCATCAGTTCTAAACAATGGAGTCAAAAAAGGTGACAGGAAGCCACCAAAGATTTGTCTCAATCAGCACACTCTGATGTAATAGATTAGACTTGCCAAATGCTCACATAGTTTATCTTTGGAATGTTATTATTAAAGCAAATTCTAAAGAAATTTACATCTGAATATTCAGACATACATAAATACAGACCATGTGCAAATAACATTGGCAAACCAACGAGACCTTGTAGAACTACATATCAGCTTGAAGGCCTTTGAAAATGCATTCCCTCATATTCTAGTGATAAGTTTGCACTAACAGTGTTTCTTTCCATACAATTTTGAGAGTACTGTACATTTTCCTGTAATATAAAAATGCACTTTGGAATAAGATAGGAATTACAATTAAGTATCTTCTTGGAAATTTAATGAAGTAGAAAGTTAGCTGCTTCAGACCAAAGCAAGAACAGGCAAACAACAGTAGCATATCTACTTACAGACTTTAAGGCCAGAAAGTACCATTATGACCATAGCTCCTGCATACACACTTCGGGAAATTTCCTACAGCAAATCTATCAAGTCCATAATAATTATGAAGCTGTTAAGCATGTGATAAACTTGGAACAATAAGCTTACAATAAACTTATGATACCTGATTTACAGTTTTGCATAGCCTTTCTCTGTAATGACAAAATTTCATTTTGTTGCATAAACAGAGATTTGGTTGCATAAATAGATCTTAAAGTTGCATTAGGTTGTATGAATGCAGATTTCCTTCATAGGTTAGGAGAAGTAGCATATGAAGATGTTTCAAAGATAAATTGTATAACCTCTCTAATGAAAAGTATTCTACCTATAGCGGTGATTCAGAGCACCGAGTCCTCTTCTGAGCCAGTCTAACAATACTGAAGACACTGTATAATTGCCTGATGTCAGCCATGACACCATGTGCTATGCAAAAGGTAAACCAATCCATGAAAGGTTTGGATCTCAGAAAAAAATTTTTGTAGTGCTGGAATTATGTCTATCAAGAAGAATCAGTGGCAGAGGGGATAACTGAAAAGTGAGCACAGCTGCTAGTATCCCAATTCTATCTTCATGCTATTGAAGAGTAAAAACAGAGAACAAAACTCACTTTTCTTTAGCTTGAAACCAACATCCATAGGTACACATCAAGACTTTAGAGGTTGCAATGGGAAATTCTCTATAAATGTCCATGCAGTAGTTACCTCCTTAGTGTAGGGTAAGCCCACTGAGCAATCTTGCTTTCCCCACAAGGCTGGGACACAGCTTATGTGCATACCTCATTTGAAAACCAGGCAGTACTACCAAATGCCACTATACAGCCATAGTCCACAATCCCCTCTGTTTAATACTAAGTGGTCATATTTAAGTATTCCCTATGATCCTAATGCCTGTAATAGTAAAATTAGAGTTTTAAATTGAGCTGTCATAGTAAGCCTCCTGACCTATTAATAGCCACGGAGGTCTCTAACAAGGAAGCAAACCAGAAATGGCAAGCTGTTATAGAAGTAAAATGTTGATCCAGCTAACTTTTATTCTTAGCAAATTTATCAATACTGGTTAACAATACTTCCAACTAGTACAGGGCCTTCTGACATGACAAAATGAGTGTAACAACCCATTCTGTCAATACAACACAAATGTCATTTCAAGTGCTCAAAACCCACTAAGCTACCCTAAAAAAGATTGATTTATCTGCTCCAGTGTTTCTTTGGGGCAAACTTTTCTCACAACTGAAACCAATT